TTTCCATCCCACCTTTCTATTGTCGTTGTTATTATTATTATTATTATTATTAATTCCATCTCATCTTTCTATTATTATTGTTATTATTTCCATCCCACCTTTCTATTGTCGTTGTTATTATTATTATTATTATTATTAATTCCATCTCATCTTTCTATTATTATTGTTATTATTATTATTTCCATCCCACCTTTCTATTATTATTATTATTATTATTATTATTATTATTATTATTTTTCTATTTTTATTATTTTTCCATCCCACCTTCTAGTGATGGAGGATTATAGGAGGCGAGGGTATTATTATGGCATCTAATCCTGTATTAGTAGTATGGGAGGTAGTAGTCCACCCCACCGTTCGATTGTGGTTAGAGTAGTAGATGTAGAAGGTCCAGCGAAGCGGGCGATTGGGGGGGGGATAAGGAGGAGGGCCCGCCCACCGGCGAGGGGGAGGATTAGGATGGAGGAGGAGGGGCCAGCGAGAGTCGGGCGAGGATGAGGAGGAGGAGAGGGAGGGCAGTGTCCCCAGCGAGGAGGAGTGTGGGGTAGGAGGAGGAGGAGGAGGGGCCAGGAAGTCCCGCGAGGATGATGAGGAGGAGGAGGAGGAGGGCCTAGTGGCGGTTGTGGTGCCAGCTACTCACCCGCGGCGCCCCGAGGGCCCTCGCATCCCCCGGCCCTGATGGCAAACCCTCCGCGCTGCCGAACGACGTGGAGGAGGAGGGCCAGCCCTTAACGTGGAGCAGGAGGAGGATGAGGAGAGAGGAGGGCCAGCCAACCGGGCGAGGATAGGAGGAGAGGAGGGCCAGCGAAGCGGGGAGGAGGAGGGGAAGGAGGGAGGGCCAGCCCACCGGGCGAGGGGGGGAGGAGGAGAGAGGGAAGGGCCATCGCAGCGGGCGGACGGGGGGGAAGAGCCTGCGAGCAGCCTTCACGGGAGTCCAAGGAGGGCAAAGCGAGGCAGGGACGGGGCGGAACTCTGTGCGCGGCTGAGGCTGGCGCTGTCCGCGGCGCTGGTGGTGCTGAAAGGAAGCCCGCCTCCGAGATCTCCGTCCTGGCCCGTTGGCAGCCTGGCTCGGAGAAGCCCCAACAGCAGGGCAGAGGAGGAGGAGGAGGAGACGGAGAAGGAGAAGGAGAAGGAGAAGGAGAGGGGCCGTGCCCCGCGCAGAGCTGCAGGTAGGTCAGGAGCAGGAGGAGGATGAGGAGGAGGAGGGCCCGGCGGGAAGAGGGCCAGCCCAGGCGGGAGAAGGCAGCCGGGCGCATCCTTGCGGGATGAGAGCCGAGCGGAAAGGGCCGGCTCCAGGCTCCCAGGCGGAGCGGCGGCTGGGCATCCGGGACAGGAAAGGAGGGAGGATGAAGGAGGGAGGGAGGAGAGGGCCTAGCGTGCATTCGGGCGGGAGGAGGAGGAGTGTCGGATGGAGGAGGAGCGGCCATGCGCAGTCGGGCCAGGAGAGAGGGTGAGGAGGAGTGAGGGTCCATCCCCACCTGGCGTGGAGGAGGAGGAGGAGGAGGAGGAGAGAGGACGGCGCCTCCCTCAGCATCAAATGCTCTTCCATACTATTTATTATTATTAATTATTATTATATTGATTGAATTATTATTAATTATTATTATTATTTCCATCCCAAATTCTCAGTGTAGGGAGTGGTATAAGTAGTAGAAGGTAGTATGCATGTCATCCCACCTTATTATATTATTATTATTATTATTATTATTATTATTTCCATCTCATCTTTCTATTATTATTGTTATTATTATTATTTCCATCTCATCTTTCTATTATTATTATTATTATTATTATTATTATTATTATTATTATTATTATTTCCATCCCAAATTACTATTATTTCCTTCCCACCCAAGGGTCAAAGGGCACAGGAAGGGCTCTGGGGTCTTGGCAAGGGCGCTCCCCTCCCCTCGGCATCATCATCATCATCATCGTCTTCATCCGTTCCGCTGCAGGAGACGGCGGCGGCTGCTGTCTAGACGCATCTCTCCGGCTGTCAATCAACCTCCGAAAGCATTAGGCTCAGCGCCGCTGTCACTCTTCATTCCCATTTTCCTAAATTGCAGTCACAAGCTCACATTTTAGGGATGATGGGAGTTGTAGTCCCAGCAACATGACTGGGAGGATGATGGAGGTTGCAGTCCTATTCCCCCTTCCTTCCATCTCTCTAACTATCCCGACAGAGTCTCCTCCCCTTTTCCCGGGCTCGCATATATTATGCAAATAGCACGCACCAGTTTTGCATTGCTTTGCAAATAACGCGCATAAGTTTTGCATAGCTTAGCATCCTTTGAGCTGCGATCAGACTTTCTGGGATTCCTCCAGATAGATTATTTAATAGCAATAGTAATAATAATAATAACAATAATAATATAACAACAACAATTTCCCTAAAAATAATAGCAACCAGAAGGTGGAGATGCATCATCATCATCATCATCATCATCATTGTTATTATTATTATTATTTGGAATGCTGAGAGTTGTAGTTCTGTGAGTCCATAAATGTATTATTGTTGTTATTATTGGGAATGCTGGGAGTTGTAGTTCCATGAATCCATAAATAATAATAATTATTATTACTATTACTATTATTATTATTATTATTATTATTATTATTATTATTATTATTATTATTGAGCCAGGGATGATGGGTGTTGCAGTCCAATTTTTTTGTTATTATTGGGAATGCTGGGAGCTGTAGTTCTATGAGTCCATAATTTTTATTGTTATTATAAATAATAATAAGAAGAATAATAAATATTATTGAGCCAGGGATGATGGGTGTTGCTGTCCAATTTTTTATTATTATTGAGAATGCTGGGAGCTGTAGTTCTATGAGTCCATAAATTTATTATTGTTATTATTATTCGGAATGCTTGGAGTTGTAGTTCCATGAATCCAATAATAATTATAATTATAAATATAAATTATAAATTATAAATTATAAATAATAATAATAATGCCAGGGATGATGGGTGTTGCAGTCTAACTTATTATTAGTATTATTCTTGGGAATACTGGGAGCTGTAGTTCCATGAGTCCATAAATTTATTATTGTTATTATTGTTCGGAATGCTTGGAGTTGTAGTTCCATGAATCCAATAATAATAATAATAATAATAATAATAATAATAATAATAATAATAATAATAGAGCCAGGGATGATAGGTGTTGCAGTCCAACTTAGTATTATTATTATTATTATTATTATTATTATTATTATTATTATTGGAAATGCTGGGAGCTGTAGTTCCATGAGTCCATAAATTATTGTTGTTATTGGGAATGCTGGGAGTTGTAGTTATATGAATCAATAATAATAATAATAATAATTATTATTATTATTATTATTGAGCCAGGGATGATGGGTGTTGCAGTCCAACTCTGAAAGCTCCCCTTTGCTTTCTGTCTCCCCCATTATTTGTGATTCTGGGGTAAACACTGGGAAAATGTATCTTTTCAAGGCGGGGATGATGGGCCTTGCAGTCCTTGCTCCCTGCACGCCGGCGTGGAGATTTGCAACATTAATTGGGTGCAATGAATGCAAAAGAAGCCACTCGTGCACCTGTTCTAAAGCCAGGGATTAGAGAGGATCAAGTTGTAATCCGGCGTTTGGGAAATCCAATTAAATTGGGCAGCGGGCTTCGTTTGCATTGGTTTTAATGGGGAGAAGAGGATTGCCTGCGTGGTTGTGCCCCACTGGGCTCTGGGTTCAAATTCTGCACACATTAGGACACACACAAATCCTGTACAACCTGGTCCATTTAAGTTGTGAATTTCAATTAGCAGGGAGAGGCGGGTGATACATTCATTATTATTATTATTATTATTATTATTATTTATTGGGAATCTTGAGAGTTGTAGTTCCATAAGGCCATACATTTATTACTATTCTTGTTGTTGTTGCTGTTAGGAATCCTGGGGGTTGTAATTCCATAAGGCCATACATTCATTATTGCTGCTGCTGCTGTTGGGAATGCTGGGAGTTGTAGTTCCACGAGGCGATAAATTTGTGGTTGTTGTTATTGGGAATGCTAGGAGTTGTAGTTCAATGAGTCCATACATTTATTATTATTATTATTATTATTATTATTATTATTATTATTATTATTGGAATGCTGGGAGTTGTAGTTCTATGAGCCATAAATTTATTATTATTATTACTATTATTATTATTATTATTGGAATGCTGGGAGTTGTAGTTCTATGAGCCATACATTGATTATTATTATTATTATTATTATTTATTATTATTATTGGGAGTGCTGGGAGTTGTATTTCCATGAGTCCATACATTTTTATTATTATTATTATTGGGAATATTGGGGTTTGTAGTTCCATAAGGCCATACATTCAATATTGTTGCTGTTGTTGTTGTTGGGAATGCTGGGAGTTGTAGTTCCTGCTATTGTTGTTAGGAATGCTGGGAGTTGTAGTTCCATGTGACCATAAATTTTATTATTATTATTGGGAATGTTGGGAGTTGTAGTTCCATAAGGCCATACATTCAATATTACTGCTGTTGTTAGGAATGCTGGGAGTTGTAGTTCCACAAGTCCATAAATTTTATATCATTATTATTAGTGGGATTGCTGGGAGTTGTAGTTCCATGAGGCCACAAATTCATTATTATTGTTATTATTGGGGATGATGGGAGTTGTACTTCCATGAGTCCATAAATTTATTATTATTGTTATTATTGGGGATGATGGGAGTTGTACTTCCATGAGTCCATAAATTTATTATGATTGTTATTATTGGGGATGATGGGAGTTGTAGTTCCATGAGGCCACACATTCATTATTATTATTATTATTATTATTATTATTATTATTGGGAATGCTGGAAGTTTTAGTTCCATAAGGCCATAAATTCATTGTTGCTGTTGGTGGTGGCGGTGGTAATGCTGGGAGTTGTAGTTCCTGGGAGTTGTAGTCCCATGAGTCCATACATGCAGTAATTTCCTTCCTTCCTTGTTCCTTTTCTCCTTCCGCACAGCCTCCGCCGGGAGGGCTACACGGTGACGGTGCAGGTGAACGACTACCTGGACGTGTACTGCCCGCACTACAACTCCTCCTCGGGGCCGGAGAGCCGGCTGGAGCAGTACGTGCTGTACATGGTCAGCCGGGAGGGCTACCGCTCCTGCAACACCAGCCAGGGCTTCAAGCGCTGGGAGTGCAACCGGCCCCACGCCCCCCACAGCCCCATCAAGTTCTCCGAGAAGTTCCAGCGCTACTCCGCCTTCTCCCTCGGATACGAGTTCCACGCCGGGCACGAGTACTACTACATCTGTGAGTTGGCCCTCGGGTCATGCATGTGCGAATGGTGCAATGAGCAAGCTTGAATGAGCATGGAGTAGCCATGAAGTTTGCAAAGTCAATCAGTGAGGGCATCTGCATAGAGGTGGCCTGGCTGTTGTTGCCTGGAGGCGCCCTCTGGGGAATGACGCCTAAGGTGGGAGGAAGAACCCTTGCCTGTTTACAGCAAGTGTGAATGTTGCAGTGAACAAGCTTGAATAGCAGTGAAGCTGCAAAGTCAATCAGTGAGGGCATCTGCATAGAGGTGGCCTGTCTGTTGTTGCCTGGAGGCGCCCTCTTTGGAATGATGCTCAGGGTGAGAGGAAGAACCCTTGCCTGTTTGAAGTGTTGATGTTGCAATGAGCAAGCTTGAATAGAAATAAAGCCGCAAAGTCAATCAGTGAGGGCATCTGCAGAAAGATTGCCTGGCTGTTGTTGCTTGGAGTCACCCTCTGTGGGATAATGCCCAGGGTGGAAGAACCCCTTGCCTGGTTGAAGGAAGTGTGGGTGTTGCAATTAGCAGGCTTGAATTAGCATGAAGTTGGCAAAGTCAATCAGCGAGGGCATCTGCATAGAGGTGGCCTGGCTGTTGTTGCCTGGAGGCGCCCTCCGTGGAATGATGTCCAAGGTGGGAGGAAGAACTCTTGCCTGTTTGAAGGAAGTGTGGATGCTGCAATTAGCAAACTTGAATTAGCATTGAGTAGCCACGAAGTTTGCAAAATCAGCCAGGATGTTGCAATCAGCAAGCTTGAATAGTGATTAAGCTGCAAAGTCAATCAGTGAGGGCATCTGCCCAGAGGTGGCCTGGCTGTTGTTGCCTGGAGGCGCCCTCTGTGGAATGCTGCCCAGGGTGGGAGAAAGAACTGTTTGAAGGAAGTGTGGATGTTGCTTGAATGAGCATGAAGTCGGCAAAGTCAATCAGTGTGGGTATCTGCATAGAGGGAGCCTGGCTGTTGTTGCCTGAAGGCACCCTCTGGGGAGTGATGCCCACGGTGGGAGAAAGAACCTTTGTCTGTTTGAAGGAAGTGTGGATGTTGCAAAGAGCAAGCTTGAATAGCGATGAAGCTGCAAAGTCAATCAGTGAGGGCATCTGCATGGAGGTGGCCCGGCTGTTGTTGCCTGGAGGCGCCCTCTGTGGAATGATGCTCAGGATGGGAAGAAGAACCCTTGCCTGTTAGAAGGAAGTGTCGATGTTTCAATTATCATGAAGTTGGCAAAGTCAATCAGTGAGGGCATCTGCACAGAGGTGGCCTGGCTGTTGTTGCCTGGAGGCGCCCTCTGTGGAATGCTGCCCAGGGTGGGAGGAAGAATTGTTTGAAGGAAGTGTGGATGTTGCTTGAATGAGCATGAAGTCGGCAAAGTCAATCAGTGTGGGTATCTGCATAGAGGGAGCCTGGCCGTTGTTGCCTGGAGGCACCTTCTGGGGAGTGATGCCCACGGTGGGAGAAAGAACCTTTGTCTGTTTAAAGCAAGTGTGGATGTTGCAGTGAGCAAGCTTGAATAGCGATGAAGCTGCAAAGTCAATCAGTGAGGGTATCTGCAGAGAGACAGCCTGGCCGTTGTTGCCTGGAGGCGCCCTCTGTGGAATAACATCCAAGGGTGGGAGAAAGAAGTTATATTATTACCATATTCTATTCTAATCTAAGATTAGATTAGAATAGACTAATTTTATATTATTATTATTATTATTATTATTATTATTAACCTTGTATTATTATATTACATTATTATCATATTATAGATTATTACTATTACTATATTACAGTATTATGATCATATTATAGCTTATTACTATTACTTTTACTATTATATTACATTAGTATCATAGTATACATTATTAGTATTACTATTATATTACATTATTATCCTATTATATATATTATTATTACTACTATTACTATATTACAGTATTACAATATTATTATCATATTATTAATAATCTATAATATTATCATATTAATAATCATATTATAGATTATCACTATTACTATTATATTACATTATTATCATATTATTATTATTATTATTATTATTTTATTACACCGTATTTTATCATATTACACAGAGGAACTGTTGAAATGCTCAAGCACGTGGACAATTTCAACAAGACGGAGGTAGCCTGGCCTTTGTTGCCTGGAGGCATCCTCTGCAATCACACTTGCTTCCAATAGACAAGACTTCTTCCTCCCACCCTGGACTATATATATATATATATATATATATAGAGAGAGAGAGAGAGAGAGAGAGAGAGAGAACACAAACACACACATTCTACAGATGCAGGTGAAATGTCAGGAGAGAATGCTACTGGAATATATTGGGGGGGAAATCCCGGATCTCTTTGGGGGCCACCTGTTCCTTCCTCTCCTCCTCCTCCCTCGTTGCCTTGCTTTGCATTTTAAAATACTGACTTGGTGTCGTGTTTTGGACGGCGAGGTTGTCGCTGCTGAAATATTCATGAGCCCTTCCTTGGTAAACTCAGCCTGATCGATGCCGGAGAATTGATCCAGGGGGTATTGATCGCTCTCCTCCTCCTCCTCCTCCGAGGAGTTGTTTCCCTCCCTGTTTGATCTCCGCCAGGGTGACAGTGACGACAAGGGCCCCCCAAACCCAGCCTGGCCTTTGGGGGCTTCCTGGGGAAGGGAAATGGATTGTTTACTTCCCGGGAAGAAGGACTGAGTTGGCCCGTAATGAGGAGCACAAGCAGATCCCACAAAGAGATTAAGAGAACAAGATACGGAGCTGCGTTGATCACTTGGGGATGCGTCAGTGAGAGTCGCTCTTGGAGGAAGGAAGGAAAGAAGGAAGGAAGGAAAGGCAAGGAAGGAAAGGAGGGAGATGAAGGAAGGAAGGAAGGAAGGGCAAAGAAGGAAGGCAAGGGAGGGAGGGAAGGGAAGGAAGAAAAAGGAAGGAAAGAAGGAAGGGAAGGAAGGGAAGGGAAGGAAGAAAGAAGGCAAGGAAGGAAGAAAAGGCACAGAGAGGAAGGAAGGAAGGAAGGAAGGAAGGAAGGAAGGAAGGAAGGAAGGGAGGCAAGGGAGGGAGGGAGGGGAAGGAAGGAAAGAAGGGAAGGAAGGAAGGAAGGGCAAGGGAAGGAAGGGAAGGGAAGGAAGAAAAGAAGGCAAGGAAGGAAGAAAAGGCACAGAAGGAAGGAAGGAAGGAAGGAAGGAAGGAAGGAGGAGGGGAAGGAAGGAAAGAAGGGAAGGAAGGAAGGGCAAGGGAAGGAAGGGAAGGGAAGGAAGAAAAGAAGGCAAGGAAGGAAGAAAAGGCACAGAAGGAAGGAAGGAAGGAAGGAAGGAAGGAAGGAAGGAAGGAAGGAAGGAAGGAAGGAAGGAAGGAAGGAGGGAGGGGAGGGAAGGGAGGGAGGGAGGAAGGAAGGAAGGAAGGAAGGAGGGGAGGAAGGAGGGAGGGAGGAAGGAAGGAAGGAAGGAAGGAAGGGCAAGGGAAGGAAGGGAAGGGAAGGAAGAAAAGAAGGCAAGGAAGGAAGAAAAGGCACAGAAGGAAGGAAGGAAGGAAGGAAGGAAGGAAGGAAGGAAGGAAGGAAGGAAGGAAGGAAGGAAGGAAGGCAAGGGAGGGAGGGAGGGAGGGAGGGGAAGGAAGGAAAGAAGGGAAGGAAGGAAGGGCAAGGGAAGGAAGGGAAGGGAAGGAAGAAAAGAAGGCAAGGAAGGAAGAAAAGGCACAGAAGGAAGGAAGGAAGGAAGGAAGGAAGGAAGGAAGGAAGGAAGGAAGGAAGGAAGGAAGGAAGGAAGGAAGGGAGGGAGGGAGGGAGGGAGGGAGGGAGGAAAGGAGGAAGGGAGGGAGGAAAGAAAGAAGGAAGGAAGGAAAGAAGAAAGAGAAGGAAGGAAGGGAGAAGAAAGAAGGAAAGGAAGGAAGAAAAGACAGAAGGAAGGAGGGAGGGAGGGAGGAAGGAAGGAAGGAAGGAAGGAAGGAAGGAAGGAAGCAAGGGAGGGAGGAGGAGGGAAGGAAGGAAGGAAGGAAGGGCAAGGGAAGGAAGGGAAGGGAAGGAAGAAAAGAAGGCAAGGAAGGAAGAAAAGGCACAGAAGGAAGAGGAAGGAAGGAAGGAAGGAAGGAAGGAAGGAAGGAAGGAAGGAAGGAAGGAAGGAAGGAAGGCAAGGGAGGGAGGGAGGGAGGGGAAGGAAGGAAAGAAGGGAGGAAGGAAGGAAGGAAGGAAGGAAGGAAGGAAGGAAGGAAGGGAAGGGAAGGAAGGGAAGGAGGCAGTCTGGGATGAATTGATGGAAGAAAAAAGAAGGAAGGAAGGAAGGAAGGAAGGAAGGAAGGAAGGAAGGAAGGAAGGAAGGAAGCAAGGGAGGGGAGGGAGGAGGGGAAGAAGGGAAGGAAGGAAGGGCAAGGGAAGGAAGGGAAGGGAAGGAAGGAAAGAAGGCAAGGAAGGAAGAAAAGGCACAGAAGGAAGGAAGGAAGGAAGGAAGGAAGGAAGGAAGGAAGGAAGGAAGGGAGGGGAAGGAGGGAGGGAGGGAGGAAGGGAGGGGAAGGAAGGAAAGAAGGGAAGGAAGGAAGGGCAAGGGAAGGAAGGGAAGGGAAGGAAGAAAAGAAGGCAAGGAAGGAAGAAAAGGCACAGAAGGAAGGAAGGAAGGAAGGAAGGAAGGAAGGAAGGAAGGAAGGAAGGAAGGAAGGAAGGAAGGAAGGAAGGAAGGCAAGGGAGGGAGGGAGGGAGGGGAAGGAAGGAAAGAAGGGAAGGAAGGAAGGGCAAGGGAAGGAAGGGAAGGGAAGGAAGAAAAGAAGGCAAGGAAGGAAGAAAAGGCACAGAAGGAAGGAAGGAAGGAAGGAAGGAAGGAAGGAAGGAAGGAAGGAAGGAAGGAAGGAAGGAAGGAAGGGAGGGAGGGAGGGAGGGGAAGGAAAGGAAAGAAGGAAGGAAGGAAGGAAGGGCAAGGGAAGGAAGGGAAGGGAAGGAAGAAAAGAAGGCAAGGAAGGAAGAAAAGGCACAGAAGGAAGGAAGGAAGGAAGGAAGGAAGGAAGGAAGGAAGGAAGGAAGGAAGAGG